GTGATTCTTGGCAGGCTCCCAGATAGCCTCAGATGGGGGATGGTTGCCAGGGGAACCAACCATGTGATTGAGGGGTTTAGTCCCACCCCCAAGGTCTTCAGGTGCTGAAGGTTGAGTTGATACCAATGGCCAGTGATGTCATCAATCCATCATGTCCTAGATAATGAAGCCTTCATAAAACCCCAAAGGAGAGGGTTCAGAGAGCTTCCACTTAGCTGAACACACGGAGGTTCCTGAAGGGTGGTGTGTCCAGAGCATGGAAGCTCAGCGCCCCCTCCCACATGCTGTGCCCTGTGCATCTCTTCGTCAGGCTGTTCATCTGTATCCTTTATAACGTCTTTTATAATAAACGAGTAAATGTGTTGCCAGATTCTGTGAGCTGCTCTACCAAATTAACGGAACCTAAGAAGCGGGTAGTGAGCTCCAGTTATAGCGGAAAGTATAGATGACAACGTACCACTTGTAACTGATGTCTGAAGTCGGGGTGGGGCAGTTCTCGAGGGCCTGAGCCCCTAACCTGTGCGATCTGACGCCATCTCTGAGTAGATAGGGTCAGAATTGAATTGAATGATAGGACACCCAGCTGGTGTCTGCTGGAGAATCGCTCGGTGTGTGGGGAAATACCCTTATGCATACGGTGTCAGAAGTATTGTGTTGAATGGTGTGTGAGTAGGAAAAACTTTTCCTCTCAGAATCACCTTTTCCCGCCTCTTACACCAAATGCAAGCTTAAGCCTCCTGAAATGGCAGTTTAAATGTCCACCCCTGCTCCCTACCCGCTCTCAGAGAAAGGCCAGTTAGGGTTACAAGCGGAAGTTTGTGCTTGTGAGGGATGCTGGGGCCTCTATGGCCTAGAGATCAGCCGACAGTGCTCTTGCATGATGCTTGGTGAAGGCAGTGTGTGTGTGTGTGTGTGTGTGTGTGTGTGTGTGTGTGTGTGTGCGCGCGCGCGCGCGTAAATATCTAGGACGGTGGCGTTTGGGGGATCAGGGAATCATTCAGTAGCTCCACAATTGGCAGATGAGATTAAAACTCCAGCAACAGGAAAAGTCAGGGCCACTGACAATTAGAAATATTGGCATGGGGCGCAGAGGCCTCTTGGCTGGATTAGGGCCATATGGGTAATAGGCTGCCCCCCACAGCTGTTCGTCTTGATAATTAAAGTAAATCTTGCACCTGTGATACAAAGTTAGCTGAGGAACCAAAGGCAACCATGGGTAAAGTACATTTGTTGCTCTGAACACAGGCTTACTATCAAGAGGCACTCAGTTTAAGAAGCATTTAGTTTGGAGGAAGGCCTAAACTTCTAGCCATTAACTCCTTGTCACCTGGACTGCTTTAAAAATAATTCAGAAATTCTCAAAAGCTTTGTTCAACAAGACAAATACAAGTTTTTCATTTAAACATTCTCTTCAGTAGTTGAATGGAATCCTATTTGAAGGGTACAAGTAAAGTCGATCCTGAGGCAACCTCCTGTGAAATGAGCTTAAATGGTATGATTTAGTGGAAAGAGCGCTGGGTTGTGTGATTGAGACCTCACGTAGTCCCATCTCTGCTACTAAGTGAACTTGTGTAGATTTTTTTTTGATTTCTTTAGAATTCTCTGATGTACAAAATGGGAACGAACATCGGACCAGAGCACTGAAACTCAGATTCCATCAAACTTGCAATCAAATTCTTGAACTCTCAAGAGTTAATAGCAGGCCGGGCGCGGTGGCTCACGCCTGTAATCCTAGCACTCTGGGAGGCTGAGGCGGCCGGATTGTTTGAGCTCAGGAGTTCGAGACCAGCCTGAGCAAGAGCTAGAGCCCGTCTCTACTAAAAAAATAGAAAGAAATTATCTGGACAACTAAAAA